TATATTACACATAGGCTAGAAGCTAATCAGCATTCTATCTGTAGCAATAAGGACCCACAGTTTTTAGGAAGACAGAATTACACTTTACTAAAAACCATTTAGTATGTGACACTGGTTTCTGAAGATGCAGTCCGGAAATAAATATAGCCGAAGAAGGCTACATATTTATACATGACACTAAGTGTATTTCCATTACCATCAGTACATCTCAGTTTCCACTTAAGGCTAGACTGGCCAGTCTCTCTCTGGGGGAGAAAGGAGCATACCTTTCGCCAATTGTCACAACCACAATCCTTGCTCTCCTTTGGCCACTACAGCTAGCTGTACAAAGAAAAGAGTGCATGTTGCAACTCATTACAAGGCTGTACTAACCAACATACAGTAATCTGCCTGCATGCTTGTGGCACAATGTACCTAGTCCAAAATCCATTGAAGTCAATGGCAACACTCTCAGTGACTTCAGTAGGCTACAGTTTTGATCCAACACCTCCGGTGCTGCTATTGGAGACTCAGTAGTGCCCCAAATGAAAGTTTCTGCCTAGCAGGCACAATGCAGACCTTAGTTCTTTTCATATTAGAGATTTCCTGTGATCAAGATCCCTTGTCATGTGAGTTTTAGAGATGTTGAATGTGACATGAACGATACACCTCAACATATAATGTACATGTTTATATATGTTTGAATGTAAAACTTTTAAAAATCCCAATATTTGAGGTAGGCTTCGGGTAAAAGGCAAAAACAGAATGAGAGAAAAATAGAAATAGAAAAAGGGATCAGAGCAAACAAGAGATCCCTCCAATATGAATACCAAGAAGAGAGTCAGACCTTCTGAGCGGAATTGGTTGTTGCAGGAGATAGAGAGCCAAGGAAAGCTTGCCCATGTAACGGAGCATGGCCTTGTAAGCATTCGAATATTTCAGATCTAAACAGAAAACACCCCTAAGAATGGTATTTTCCAGCTTATGACGCCTTTCGCTGTGAAAAGCCAGGAACAAAATCATCCTGTCAGTCTGTAAGGGACACAGGCCCTAATAGTTAGATTCTTTGATGCAAGGCTTGGCAATAACAACAACAAGCTCTGGGTCTGTCAGAGATACACATGTGCACATTGCTCCATTGCCCCTACAGGCTCTGAACTAGCAGAGGATTGAAAGTGACATACGGTCTGCTTGAAAAATAGATCTCACTGTTGTCAATTTGCATGTTACAATGAAGCCCTTTAGTACAAATGATACTGCCCAAAAGCGTACCAATACTGAATAAAATGAAACCCTGGCAGGCTCCATGGACAATTTGCACTGGCAATTTGAGAAATGTTAGAAGCATAAGAGCCACTAGTGATAAAACTGTCAGGATTAGGAAATGTGAGATCTGAACCAGGCTGGTGAAGATCCAAATAAACTATTACAGGAATTCAGACTTTTTAAACAGAATTTCATGATCAATAGTGTGTCAACTCCAGCTGACAGTTTCAGTACGAATAACAGATAAACATAACCCTGATTTGTTGCAGTCACTCACAGCTCATTAGAGAGCTGCTATCAGGGCAGTCTCAGTGCTGTGAGCAGGATGGCAAGTAGTCTGAAATGTATGCGGTAGATCATTACTTAGAAGTTGCTCCTCATAGCTAGGTAGCAACATTTCCAACAACCATCAAGGAAAAAGGGAGATTAAAGAAACTTGGCAAAAACAAACAAATTGGATACCTCCCCTGCAGGCAGAGGGAACAGACAAGATCAACTGGAACAGAGCATTTTCAGGGCGGGGTCAGAAGGGGGACATCCTCAGCTGGTGTAAGCTGGTACAGTTCCATCAAAGACAATAGAGCCATACCTGTGTACACCAGTTACAGATCTTACACAGGGTGTCCAAAATATCTGTAGGAAAGTCAGTTTGGCCAACAGTCTAATGAGCACGTGGTTGTACAGAGTCCAAGCTTATCCCCCTCAACCTCAGCAACAGTTTCAAGATGACACTAAAAAGAGCTCTGAGGGTTACATGGGAATCAAGTAGGGCTCAATCAAAGGGAGTTTTTCTATGGACTCCAAAAAGATTCCAGAGGGAGCAATATGATAATAAAGTAAGTGTTTAATTTTGCAGGTTTACTAAGGATGAAATCCATTCCTATACTGAGGACCAACACAAAGGGTAAATTTCATCCAAAGGTATCAACAAAGAAGATGACAAGATTTGAGAGAGAAGAGAATATGTGATAAGATGTGATTGGGGGGGAAAGGTGGGAGGAGGACATGTTCAATGGCAACTGTAAGAAAGGCAGGAGACTGGGAATTGTAAGAACTAATAGTTATTAACTTAGAAGGTTTAGGATTGGAAATGGGAAGACACAAGGAAAGAGCCAAATCTAATAAGTGGCTCTTGACAGATGGTTGCCCCTTAAGAGAAGTTATAGTTTACGGCTATTCATCCATGATCTTAAGCTCTCAGAGCCATTAACATTCATTGTATAAATATTTAGGCACTTAAACTCTCATAAACTGTCCATGTGAAGTACTACTATACAAGCACAGAACCCATTATATATGGTTTAATACCTCAGATGTATAAATCTTTCCTTCTTCAAAATACCAAAATCAAGCAGGTTATATTATGAACCCTGCACAGCAAGTTTTCAGCCCAGATGCAACACAAGTAGTTGAAGAAGCCCATGACATGCCTTGATCCCACAAGCTCATATGCATCGTTGTCCCCTGGGCCCACACACAGTTCTATTGAAGACAAGGATTAGTTCTCACATCTGATGGGTTTGTATGCTACCAGTTGACTGTGACCAATTGATGTCTTCCTAGCTCTATATCTGGGGATATCAGCTGACTAAAATAATGACCCCAGTTCACTCATACACAATTACATAGAATATGCGTGTTCTCAAATCAAGTGGATCATGAAGCTCTATTTGTGGTAGGACTATGGCTCTGTCTTCACTAGGAAAATGATAACGGTTTGTTAACTAACACGGGTTAACCCTTGTTAACTAACATGTTGATAAAGGAATGTTTTCTTATCACGTTAGTTAACATGAGTTACCCATGTTAGTTACCATACCGTTAATTTTCCTAGCAAAAACAAAGGCACAGTCCCAGCATAAATCTGCTGTGCATAAATTTAGGGACTAAACAAAAGCTAAATTTCAAATTGGAATAGTAGACACATGCAAACAGGTCTGTAGGAACAGGTACTTCTTTCATTGCTATACTATATATTTATGCAATTTAACAACTCTCTCTCTCTCTCATAAATTATGCAATGTCAGCTCTAGTTAAAGCAGGGGACAGAGTCAGACCTCTGTGTTTGATTCCTGACTCTGTCACTAACTTGCTGAGTGAACTGGGGACAAGATGACTCCAAATATTTCTGAGAAACTGGCATAACAGAGCTAAGCGAATACTGTTAAACATTTTAAGCAAATATTTATTCAAATATTTAAATAAATTCTGTGTTCCCTTAGCATGAATATTCTAGATAGAAAATAAAGTTTTCATTAATGAGGAAAAATAAAACAGATATTAAGCCCGAATTGCCCAAATACTCATCTAAAGTGGATTATGACTCACATCTGACTAACAGTTCAGATTTCAAATTCTACACCAACATGCAATTCAAAATTCTTACTGTTGGTGGTTGCTTACAGAAATTATCCACTCAGAGACCAGAAACAATACCACATGACCCAGGAAACTAACCAGCAAAGTACAAATATCCACTTTCAAATATTCATGTGGAACTGTCCTCCACTGAGTCTACAGACTCAGGATTAATAGCTGAATTCACACATAATTTTGAATGATAAATCCATTTCCCCCCATTTATGTGCAGAAAATTCATAAACAGAGAACCAAAGTGTTTTGAATATATTACTTATTATACATTGTTTGCCCTTCCCTAAATAATTCTTACCAAATTCACTGGGGTGTTGTAAGGCTAAATTTTCAGTAAAGTGCTTGCAAATCCTCAACTGAACATATGCGAGTGTTTATGGTAAAATAAACAGGAACCAGGTGAATAGCCCATAGCAACAGGTTGGGGGGGGGGGGGAACAGTTGAAGATTCCCTACATACTGGAACAGGACACAAAAGAAAGGCTATGGTGTGAATACTCTTTAGTCCTTGAGCTATTTATGCGGGTCTGCATTTCAAGTTGCTAGGACAATTTAAATGAGGTGAGATTTCAAAGCAATCTCCAGTGTAACTGGAACACATAGCAAAATCCTTCATTCCGGAAAAAAAAAATAGAGAGAGAGACTTTAGAAAAAGGTCTCCCACACTCCTTCATCCCCAAATAGGTGAGACTAGGTCTGATTTGTGCAGTGTGCGGCTAGAGTTTGTCAAGGCAAAACTTGAAAGCAAGGACAGAACTTCAGTAACCTATTAGATCAACTTTTGTATGGCGTGTGTCCCTCCGTCCCGGGGTCCTCCGCATCAGTAACGAGAATCGCCTGCCACATTGCCCCGGGGGGAGGGAAGGGGCATGAGAGGCGGGAGGGCTAATGCAAGCTTGGGTACTTTGCGGCTGGAGAGCTGGCGCTGCAGCTAAGCAGGCAGCAATCCTCCAGCCCGGCTCTCCGGGCTGCAATGAACAGGCGACGCAGCGTGAACGCTTTCACTCCCAGACTAACTCCCCCTTACACGCGAACACAGCGGCACAACCAGAGCAAAAGAGGAGCTGGGGAGGCTGGGGAACGCGGTGCGGCGGCTGCTCTCAGAGAGGAGCTGGATTTGCAGAGCAGACGGGACGGGATGGTAACTGGAAGAGGAGGGTTGCAACGTTTGCAAAGCAGCCAGGAGAGGAGGGGGACTTTGGGGGGGGGGGGGAAATGCAAATATGCAGAAGCCCCGGGGGGGTGGGGAAATGCCAAGGGAGACTCTGCTTCTTTCTAACCGCGTCGGCGCGGGTGAAGGGGTCCAAACTTGGCCATATCATCTGCTGGCTTGTGCCCTGGAAATGTGTGTGTGTATGTATATAAAAGCATCGTCCACTTACCTTGCGCCCTGGATGATGCTATAAAGAGCCAGTTTAGGCTCAGCAGCAGCATGACTATCTGGGCTGGGGGGTGAGGAGGAGGGAAGCGCCGCTGCTCTGCATGGAGACGCTTTGACATCTTAGCCCAGGCTGAAAGAGACAAACTTTCATCAGCTAGGTCTGGAGAATAGCACCATAATCTACAGTTACAGAGAGGAGCGAGCTGGGACGCAGGATGTGAGAGATTTCCTGCATGCAGTTAACTCCCAAACCCCTCCTGCTCCTGCATGGACTGCTGATGAGCTGGGCTTTGCTTTTATTTAAAAAAAAAAAAAAGTTGTTTGGGGTTTGGCTTTTTTTTTTTTTCTGGCAAGAACTATCTGTTGACCGTTGCAATAAATGAGCAGACTGTCCGTGTTGGCTAGCAGGAGGCACTAAAGATCGTTGGTGAAAGAAGGCAGGCCTGCCTGGGAAATCTGCCCCTTGCCAACATTTACCGTTCTCATTACAATGGAACAAATTATTGTCCTCCTGCCTCCCCTCACGGCGTCTCCGCGGGGTCCTACGGCCCGCCACTCCCGCTGTGCACACGGTAACAGTTACTCTGTTGAGGAGAGGTTACTCAGGCACGGTGGTATGTTCCTGAAAGGACACATCATCCCCATTCTCAGACCTGCCAAGTCTCCTTCAGCTGGAAGGCGACTCCCTCCTGTGAGATTGATTTTAAGGTTGGCTTTAAAGTCTCCCCCGCTTTCGCTGGAGTGACTGGTATATGTGTTAGAAGTCTCCCCCTCTAGTGATAAGGGATCTGGATGAAGCTTCTCCTCCCCGCTCACAGAGGGTTGTATAGTGTTCTAGTGATTTCTGTTACACACAGGGTGATGTCTGAAAAACAGCTTGAACGTGTAATAAGAACAGAGAAATTCTTTATTGGTTTCATATTATTGTAGGTTATTTCTGATTCCTGGGGCTATTACTTTACAGTGTTTAAAAGTTTAACAAACAAAATAGGTTGTTTTTTAAAAAGATACCTTCCTCATTCACATTGTCAACAGTTGTCTGGGAAACAAACAAACAAAAAAAACCCCAGACAGTAGTTTATGCCCATCAAACCCCTAGCCCGCCACCGAAATACATATAAATGCAGCGATTGATGTGTCTCAGGGCTTCTCCCAAGGAAGGGAGAAAGAAAGGCCCCGATCCTGGGAACACAAAGCTGCCTGCATTTTACACAAGTAAATCAATTGAAATCAGGGAGAATACTCATAGGCATAAAGTAACTCATATGGGTCAGGCCCTAATTCTGCAATTTTTTCCACTCAAGATTCTTCTTTCATGGAACAATTTTCAGGATTAGGGCCTAAGCTTGGGCCTTTGCCAACAAAAAACAAAGACAAAACCACACTCACAAACCGCCCAGAGCTGTGCAAATTTGAATTTGTAAACAGTGACTGTTCTAGTGCAGGGGTCCTCAACCTTTTGCTTTTGGAGGCCGGCTAGAGTGACCAGATGTCACGATTTTATAGGAACAGTCCTGATATTTGGGGCTTTTTCTTACATAGGCTTCTATTTACCCCCCCCCCCATCCTGATTTTTCACACTTGCTATCTGGTCACCCTAGGAGCCCCTCCACACACACACATGCTATAAAAAGTCCAAGGCCCCCTGTGCTATAACAACTCTTTTTCCACATATAAAAGCCAGGGCCTGCTTTAGGAGGTAGCAAGTGGGGCTGTTGCCTGGGACCCCATGCCACAGGGAGCACCGCAAAGCTAAGTTGTTCAGGCTTCAGCTTCAGCCCCAGGTGGTGGGGCTCAGGGCTGCGGACTGCAGTCCCGCACACCGCAGCTTTGGCTTTCTGCCCTGGGCCCTGGTGAGTCTAATGTCAGCCATGCTTTGCAGCCCCCCTGAAACCTGCTCACAGCCCCCTCCCCCCCGCCAGGGGTCTCTGCACTCCTGGTTGAGAACCACTCTTCTACTGGGTTTAAAGACAGTAGTTACACCATGAAGGGTATCTTCGGATCACATATGGGTTTGAAAGATTTGTACAGTCTGACCTGGAATGGGATAGGACAAGTCCTTTTAGCCTCCTACCTCTCCTCAGACTTAAGATATTCCCCCACCTCCACCAAAAGGTGTCAAAACATGCACAGAACTCTGTTTCTCTCATTTCTCAGAGCTTTGATTTGCATTTCTCACCCCCCCTAGAAAATTCAATGAACTGAGCTCTGTGAAGGACACACAGACAAGGAGAGTGTTTGAGAGGTGAGCAAGGATGGGTTTCTGATAAAATTTCACCAAATGTTAATATGATTTAATTTTGTCCATTTCTCTCTTTTGTGCAGGTGAAATCTTGATAAGTTTTAGATGCATTTAAAATGTATGTCTTTAATGGATACCTTATTCCACGTTATACAGCTAGCTAAACCGCTTTGGGCAGGGTCTCTCATTTTTGTGTACTGTACAGCATAAAGAACACTGAGTTAAAACCAATAAGAGCAAAACAATTTTTTGAATTTGCAAGTTATCACAATCCAAAATAGCCAGATTTTGTCTGGAAGCTGCTATCCAAAATGCAGGTCATCTCTAATGTAGAATGATTCATGTAGGGGTGTTTAAATGAAGTAGTAATTGGGAGAAAAATTATCCTAAAAACAAAGAAAACTTCTGAATGGAAAGAACTCATTCTCTACCCCACCTACATACAACTATAGTTCTCAGGCGGGTGTTATGATTTTCCAGTATAACTTTAGATTGGTTTATGCTATGATTATTCCTGATCTGTTTTTTAGAACACTTAAGTGTCAAGGTGTAAAGTTGCCAATGCTCATTTTTATTGACCCAGATAATTTCAACTTTTTAATTTTAAAATCTAGTCAATGATGCCACTGATTTTTTTTTAAGGGATGATTTATTGTATGTATCCCAATACCTTCAAAATGAAGGTTAAAAACAATAACCCCTGTGTGTCCAAAAAGCCAGAAGATTCTTCAGTAATGGCCCTGGGTAACACCCAACTAAGTCAGGAGAGGCTGTAGCTTTTCTGTCCTTTGAAGGTCTATTTTCTTAAAACACAGGGTAAAAAACTAAAAAACAACAAATATAGACTGCTGGCAATGCATTTCAGTGTTGTGATTTGTATTTAATTAAGTATTCCCCAATTGCCCTATTTTTTGTTCATTCACCAAGTCTGCAGGGGGGGAAAAACCTGTGGATTTGCCCCTTCCCACCTCCATCCCCTCCCAAGCCCACAAGTGAGGAATTGAGAATACTATCATTCCTGTCCTACTACTTGGAATATATAATTCAGTTTATTTTCATGGGGTTTAAAGTGAATCTATTAACAGAGTTTTTATCACCAAGGAATCCCGAGTGCTTTGTTAACCATCTCAGGCTGGAGGACAGCAGCAAACTCTCAAAAGCGGGACATACAATTTTGGCCAAAGATCTAGAACAAAACTCTCATTCATTAAAAACAAACTCATTACTGACTACAGAAAACAAAACAAACCTTGATTTCTTAGGTTTCAATGTGGGTTTTAGCCCACGAAAGCTTATGCCCAAATAAATTTGTTAGTCTCTAAGGTGCCACAAGTACTCCTTGATTTCTTAAGGACTCATACTAAAAAACACACTTGCAATAAATTAGATGAATGAATGGGTGAGCAAGAGCAAATCAAACTGCTGTTGCCAGGCACCCTGGATATTTCAAAGGTATCATAGAATATCAGGGTTGGAAGGGACCTTCTTGTAGTGTGGGGCCCAAAACTGGATAGGTAGGCCCTGGTCCTGCAGTTTTTTCCATATAGGCAAATACCTGTCTAGTCATTTTTTAAAATCTTATCCATTTAAAGGTGTCAGTGTTTTTTCTTGTTTGTGGTCCTTTATCAGTCATGTTTTGTCCTCTCACCCTGATTTTACTCTCTCACCCTTCCCCTTGCCCCCACCCATTTTTGCTCCCCTTGCTTCCCATAAAGTAACTTTACTTACTCTAGTGCAGGAGTAGGCAACCTGCAGCACGCAAGCTGATTTTTAGGGGCACTCACACTGCCTGGGTCCTGGCCACTGATCGGGGGGGAGGGAAATAGGCTCTGCATTTTAATTTAATTTTAAATGACGCTTCTTAAACATTTTAAAAACCTTATTTACTTTACATACAACAATAGTTTAGTTATATATTCTAGAGACATAGAAAGAGGCCTTCTAAAAACGTTAAAATGTATTACTGGCACACAAAACCTTAAATTAAAGGGAATAAATGAAGACTCGGCACACCACTTCTGAAAGGTTGCTGACCCCTTCTCTAGTGCTTCCAATACTTCTTATATTTGGGACCCACACCTCCTTCCGTCTGTGGCACATGACATCTTGTGACAGTAGCAGCTCTTCAGGCAACTGCTGCTTGTTCAGACCCTTGATTTTCTCCTCCTGACAGTTGGGCCACTACTTCTCTTGTGCTGTGAGATGGGGGAGAGGAGAAGAGGAGACAGAAGGTAGGTAGCTGGTCTGCATGGAGTGTGGTAACATGACACTAACCCGCATTAACACGATCACTAACTCATAACTGAACTGACATTTCAGCCTCATTTGGCATCAAGCCTCTGATAGCTGCCCTGTCTGATTGGTATAATATTGACATACTTGGATGGAATCTTCTAGACTAGTGTGACATTCTGACTCACCTGAGAGGCACTGTGATCTACAAAACAAAACAACAGTGAAGGCTTAAGGGTCAAACGCTTCTGAGAGGTAATCTTGGCTCGGTTTTTGAAAAATCATGGAGCAGGTCCTCAAGGAAACCATTTTGAAGCACTTGGAGGAGAGGAAGGTGATCAGGAATAGTCAACATGGATTCACCATGGGCAAGTTATGCCTGACCAACCTGATTGCCTTCTATGATGAGATAACTGGCTCTGTGGATATGGGGAAAGCGGTGAACAGGATAGATCTTGACTTTAGCAAAGCTTTTGATACGGTCTCCCAAGGTATTCTTGCCAGCAAGTTAAAAAAGTATGGATTAGATGAATGGACTATAAGGTGGATAGAAAGCTAGCTAGATTGTTGGGCTCAATTGGTAGTGGTCAACGGCTCCATGTCTAGTTGGCAGCCGGTATCAAGCGGAGTGCCCCAGGGGTCAGTCCTGGGGCTGGTTTTGTTCAAAATCTTTATTAATGATCTAGATGATGGGATGGATTACACCCTCAGTAAGTTTGCAGATGACACTAAGCTGGCGGGAGAAGTAGATATGCTGAAGGGTAGGGATAGGATCCAGAGTGACCTAGACAAATTGGA